AGTGGGGAAGGGGCAGAGAGAGGGAGACACAGAATCCGAAGCAGGCTCCAGGCTCCGAGCGGTCAGCACAGAGCCCGACACGCGACTCGAACCCACAACTGTGAGATCATGACCTGAGCCGAAGTCAGACGCTCAACTCATGAAGCCACCCAGGCGCCCCTCCCTTCAGGTTTATACTCTTAATGGTCAGTTAATGGAATAGTTAAAGCAGAGTAAAGCAAGTATAGAGACTTACGGCCACGCCATAGAAGTTAACTGAAGACACTTGCTGACCTGCTACATGCGATGAGAGCTTCTTGGTGTTAGAGTCTCAGGTCTGAATTAAAGGTCCCTCGGTAGCTCACAGAATTGTTCCTTCTTCTGTGAGCAGACATCTGAACACACAGGGTGAGAATGAGCTCATTACAGCTCCTATTTTATATTTTATATTTTTTATTTTTGAGAGAGACAGACAGCATGAGCAGGGGAGGGGCAGAGAGAGAGGGAGATACAGAATCTGAAGCAGGGTCCAGGCTCTGAGCTGTCAGCACAGAACCCAATGCGGGGCTTGAACCCACAAACCGTGAGATCATGTCCTGAGCCGGAGCCAGACGCTCAGCCGACGGAGCCCCCTGGGCTCCCCTTACAGCTCCTATTTTTCAGGCAGTTTCAGAGACTCAAGTCACACGGGTCACGTGGACCCAGGAGACAGCCCGTGGGAACTGCCCTCTCTTCAGTGCCGAGTTGCCCGGAGTTCAAAGCAGAGTCCTGTGTTCTGGAGGCTTGCAGTGCTCTTGAGTGGAGAGGGAGGTATAACTTTGGGGAGGTGTGCCCGTACTTTGAAGACGAATCAGGCAGGAACAAGCCAGCAGTATGTGCTGCTCACGAAGGCCCGAGAGCGGGGAGCCGCAGCGCCCAGGGGCAGGGACCACGGATGCCCTGGCTCAGGTGGGGCGGGCGGGGAGGAGAGGAGAACCGCCCATCCTCCGCCTTTGCACGCCATTCTGGGCCCAGGCACCTTGGTGAGGGCGCGTCTCTACTCGGTCTGCTGGATGCTAATCCCCTGCAGCGCAGCCTCCCACGCACCGCGAAGGAACGTCCGGCCGGCTCTCTGGGCTCCCCGGAGACCGGTCGGGCCGGCGCGTAAACTTGGCCCTCACGCACTGTGTGTCCTGACTTGCTTCGTGCTCGCCTTCTTATTCTTGAGAGCAGGACCCGCTCTGCCCAGTACGGCGGCCGCTGGCCAGCGCGGGCCCGGCCTCCTTGGGTCCGCTGCGCTGTAGTGACCACTGGCCGTGCCCGTTCCAGCTTCCACTACTTCGTCCTGTCCTGCGCTCCCTGCCGTGAGGATTCTTGCTTTTAACCAGGCTTCTTGACCGCAGTTACAGAGGCTTCTGGGAGTGGAGCGACATTCAGTACCTGTGTTCATTTTGCTGCCTTTTTCCAGAAATAGAGACTGATTTTTATGGTACTGATTAGTTACTCATTTCTGAATCAGTACCAGATGATCTTTTACCATTGTTCTGAATAACTGTTCACGTTGCCTGAATTCGTGTGCTGTTTTAGTCACAGGCTTCAGTATTTTAAAAAAGTAAGAAAAACTCAGTACTTCCATTTTAGATACTGTTACACGTACTGGTTTGGGAGGTTTTATTTAAGTCCATCTGTGCTCGCGGCACACACCGGCGTTGGAACCATATGGAGAAGATCAGCAGGGCCCCTGTGTGAGGACGACTCGTGGGTGTGTGAGGGGTTCCGGGCCGGGAAGAAGATCAACTGCTCTCCGGAAGGAGCGACTGCGGCTACGAAGCACAGAGGAGCCGGGCGGTGGAGGAGGAGACGGACTTAGGATTGTGTCCCTCAGCCTTGCCCTCAGTGCTGAGTCAGATCCAAGAGTCAGGAGAACCTGATTACACTATAAACGTTGCCTTAAATGGAAATACTTAGAAATTAGTGTAGATTCTTCACAGATGGTGAATTGTTTGGCAACAAGTAATAAAAGTGTAAAAAGCAGTCATTTAAACAAGTTAGGGGTTTTGTCTTTCTTTGATAGAAGTAGTAGGGGGCCAGTGCCGGGTGGCGGTTCTCGGGCGTCGCTAGGGACCCCGGGGCTCTGCTGTGTCGGGTGTATGGCTTCCGTTCTAAGGATGCCTTAGGATCACAAGGTGGCCACTGCTGGTCCTGTCATCACATCTGCATTCCAGGAGAGAAGGGGTTAAGGGCAAGAGGGCGTCTACTCCTTAAGTCCTGACCTTGCAGGAAGCTTTTTGAAAAATTTTTTTAATGTTTTATTTACTTTTGAGAGAGAGATAGAGACAGTGTGAGCTGGGGAGGGTCAGAGAGAGAGGGAGGCATAGAATCTGAAACAGGCTCCAGGCTCTGAGCTAGCTGTCAGCACAGAGCCCGACGCGGGGCTCGAACCCACAAGCCGTGAGATCATGACCTGAGCTGAAGTTGGATGCTTCACCGACTGAGCTTTTCTAGAAGCCGTGCTCACCGGCTTTTGCTTCTTACTGGCCGGAGCTCAACCCCTTGGTTGTCCCTGTCCACAAGGCGAAGTCTGCGCACTGCTTTTCCTCTGGCCCGTTGCCGCATCCTGTGACTGTCAGTGCTCCGTCGGCGTGGCACAAGGCAGGACGGACGCCGGGCATGTGACTGCAGGCCTGGGGACGGTGGCGGAGCCGTGGCTGCATCCTGCCTGTGGGGAGAGCCTCACCCTCCGGCAGCCAGCAGGCGGGACAGGGCCCTGTGGCCGCGTGCTGTCCCCTCCTGTGCCGAGTGTCTGCGATGCCCCTCAGGCTCCTGCAGGCCGTGCCCCAGGGCCTCACGCCCCTGGGGCAGGTGGTCTCCCTTCCAGAACTGTGGTGTGACCGAGCACTGGGGGCAGCTCTCTGTCGTGGCGATGAATGCTGGGCGTGGTTTCACCTGATCTTTCCATTTCTGTTTCTTTTTTTTTTTTTTTTAAATGTTTTATTTATTTCTGGGAGAGAGAGAGACAGACAGCATGATCAGGAGAGGGTCAGAGAGAGAGGGAGACACAGAATCTGAAACAGGCTCCAGGCTCCGAGCTGTCAGCACAGAGCCCGACGCAGGGCTCGAACCCACGAAGCGGGAGATCATGACCTGAGCCGAAGTCGGACGCTAAACCGACTGAGACCCCAGGTGGCCCCGGAAAGAAGTCTTTAACGGAAATCAGCCACATTTACAGCGCTACCTGTGTGCTGGGCACTTGGCAGGTGTTAGCAAATTTAATCTTAACCCTTTGAGGAGGCAGGCACTTTAAAATACGTAATACGTTGCTGAGTGACTTTTCCATCCCTTACTTATGATCTGCTTTTGTGTATGACTTCGTTCTTCTTCTCCTGTGTTTCAAGATGGCTCTCTCTTGCCCATGCAGGGAATAGATTGATTCTAATTACAGTGATGGAAACCTCCTCATGGCCCTGTGTTTGAGCTTTGCATCCGTTGCTGCACGAGAGTCTAAACCAAAGCTTGCAGCTGGTCGATAGCTAGTTGTGTGTGTGTTTGACGAGGTGGTACATGCAGACGGCACAGGATCCCGGAGGCGCAGAAGGGCTCCCCGTGCTAAGTGTGTTTCCTTCTCGCGTCTTTCTGGTTCCCACACCTTCCAGGGGGAAGGGAGAGGGAACCACGTTTATCAGTTCTTCACCAGCTAATTGCTTACTTTTCCAGAGATAATTTAGTGTGCAGACATGTGGATTATACATAAACTTTTGTACAAGTGGTAACAAAATACACACCTTTTTATTAAAGAAAATAAAATATGATATGAATGATAAAAATGTAATATGAAATTTACCTTCCTAATTGTTACTTCAAATGTATAGTTCAGTAGGGTTAACTGTGTTCACATTGCTGTCAAACAGAACTCTGCTCATTGCCCCTGGAACAATTCTTGGTTTGCTAAAAAGTCTTTGTTAGAAGTTACTGACACAGATGAATATTTAAGAATGTAGATGAGGGGCACCCGGTGGCTCAGTCATTTAAGCGTCCGGCTTCGGCTCAGGTCAGGATCTTGCAGTCTGTGAGTTCGAACCCTGCATTGGGCGCTATGCTGACAGCTCAGAGCCTGGAGCCTGCTTCAGATTCTGTGTCTCCCTCGCTCTCTGCCCCTCCCCCATTCATGCTCGCTCTCTCTCTCTCTCTCAAAAATATTAAAACAAAACAAGAGAATGTAGAGGATCTGGAGACACCTTTTCCTTTTCACTAATGGTTTATCCTGGGGACAGTTTCATGGCAGCACATATGGACCTCGTGCGTTTTCATCGCGACAGGGCCTCTCCTTTGTGGGTGTGGTGTAATTCGCTTAATCATGTCCTTTACGGCGGCATTGCGGTGGCTTTTCATCTGCTGATACAGCCAGCGCTGACATTTGACGTGTCTGGAGCATCTTGCTTTTTCTAGATGGGTCTCTTGTCTCCAGAATGTAGTTTGATTTTGTTTCGTGGTCAAAAAGGCTGAGAGAATTTTTTTTTTTTAAGTGAGTGAGTTTCTCACTTGTGTTTACTGAAGATATTAGCAATAATAACTCTTATCGAGCGCATTTCACGTGCTGCTAGTGTAAGCACTTAGACTCTCTCCATCTTTTCACCTCTGTGAGGTCAGTGCTAATTTCACAGAGAGAGAAAATCACTTTTAATCCACAGTGAAGCCGAACGCTGGGATTTCACCCAATTGCTGGGACTTCAGGACCTCGGGGCTGCGCTGGTCTGGCTGCTACATAACAGGCTCGTTTGCTTTCAGATGAGCTGTTTTACACTATGTTATGCTTTCTGGTTTTAATGTGTTTTATTTATGTGTTAATTTTTTAAATCTCAGGCTTAGTGTTCTCTTTGCTTTGTAGTGAGTGTGTTTTCTTCCTAATTTGGTATTTCTTAAAACGTAATTTAGCGTAACTATAATTGTCCGTGTTTACCCTGTGCTGGTTTACAGGTGATTGACTCTTTCCTTCTGTGATTAGTGAGCAGGTTGGTACATTTCCATCTTTTCTTACATCATCTTCCTTTTGTCTACCTCCTGCTTTTGATGGGTTGTTACTGAACTTGTTCTAATGTCAACATTTATAACGTTATAGGTACCAGTGCCTCTGATACCTGATCAGTTTAAAGCCATGTGTTTGAGTCCATCATAAGAGGATATCACTGTCTTTATATTCTCTCCTTTTCCTTTATACGTCTCCTCCTTTATGACGTTTCCACTGCGTCCTGTAAGTCCCAGGAAAGAGCCGTCTTTAGTGCGGCATCCTGAATGGATGAAGTGTCCCCTGTAAGTCCGTGGCTGTACTTTGCGCATTCTTCTGTCTTCTAATAGAGCTCATCCATGAAGGGCTTCTCTAAGTTCTTGTATGTTTAAAGAGAATTTTGGTTTTGCAAGATGCTTGATCGACGGTGTGACCAGCTGTAGAATTCTTGAGTCACACCTTCCTACCGTAAGTCCCCGTGGGTCCCCGTATTAAATGGAGCCATGCTGATGGCCGGGGCTGGCCCACCTCCCGCTTGAAAAGTAGCAAGGTCTGCACCAGCTGCTGTAACAAAGGCCCACAGGCTGGGCGCCTTCCACAGCAGGCCTCTGGTTCTCACAGTTCTGGAGGCTTTAGGTCCAAGACTTAGGAGAGTCTTGTTTCTGGCGAGGGCCCTCTTCCTGGCTGTGCCCTGACGTGGCCTTTCCTCTGTGGTCACACGTGGAGGGAGAGGGAGCGCTCTCAGGTGTCTGTTCCTGCTGTTGACTTAGGGCCCAGTCCTGTGCCATTCCAGGCTCCTTGTCACCTCCCTGAGGCCCCTCCACGTGCAGTCGCTTTGGGGGTTGGGCTTCAACGTATGGGTTTTGGGGACACAGTTCAGTCTATAACAAAGGGTATCGTGGACTCTTTTTTTTTTTTTTTGCCAAAAGGCCCAGAGAATTTTTATTTATTCTTTTTTCTTCTTTTTGCAGCTTTAAATATGTGATGTATGTCCATATTTATTGGCATGGAAAAATGTTCACGACATATTGCTGAATGACCAAAAGCAGGTTTTATCTTTCTGTAATCCTCCAATTTGATAATGATGATTATTTTAAAATGGATGTTTGAATTTTTTGAGATGCCTTTCGTCTTGATTTGTATTGCTTTTGTTTCTATATTTTTCTGGGTATGTCTTTTTTCCTATTTTCTCTCTCTTTTCTCTTAGTATTTTTACACGGTCTTTTGCAGGTTTCTGTGCGCTTTTTCCTCATCTTTTGAATGTGGGCACGAGCCAGGGCTGGGGGGGCGGGGGGGGGGGTCTGGGTGAAGCCGCTTCTCCCCTGGAGCTTTCTGCCTCGCGGCTGATGGCAGAGATGCGGCTTGTGACCTGGCGTCCTGTGCCCTGTTGGGCCGTGGGCGTGGGGGGCTCCTAGGCTCACCCGCTCTGACCGACGCTCGCCTCTTCTGTTTCCCTGCGGAGGGAGGGCCCTGCATGATGCCCGGCGTCTGGAGTCCCTGCCATTCTCCTCTGGCAGCTTCGCTGGGGTTCCACTGCCCTTGGCAGCTTGCGGCAGAACTCCTCAGTTTCAGGGTGTGTTAGGTGTTACGTTGTTGGAGACGGAATTTCCTTTTCTGCAGCTTGTTCCTGCTTTCGGGGCGCTGGTAATACGAGCAGAAACGTTCTAAGAGGCCTTTGCTGTCTTAAAGCTTTTACGACTCACTGCCAGATTTCTATAGTTAATCACCGCGAATGTACGCTATCTGCAAAATTAGGGAGTTACACAGCAATCTAATTAACACACTTTTAGGTTAACGTTTTTTATGGTTCTGATGTAATTACAGGAAATTTGGGTGATCACTAAATATAGCAAATGTTTTCCTACAGACAGAACCTCCGTTGAATACGCCAGAAAATAGAGAATATCTTGCAGAAATTATGTTTGAGTCATTTAATGTACCCGGACTCTACATTGCAGTGCAGGTAAGAACAGTTATTTGTACGATTCCCAGCAGACCTTGGCTGTCTGATAGTGAAGGAAGGAATGGGGTTTCCAGAGGCTCTCTGCTGTAGGGTTGTGCTGTGTGCTTCCCCTTTCCCACTCCCACCCTACTCAAACGCTGTGAGGGACAGGCTCCACGAGTTATGTTTTTATACTTACACTGTCGATCTCGAGTTTACCAAGTTTATCTCTGTTTCATGCATTAGAATCTAATGTATTTTTCTTTGGGTGACAAGATCGAGATGTAGATGTGGTTTTCTTTTTGGCTTTTTTCACTTTTGATCATAGTAGAGGAAAGCTACTATAGAGTCTGTTAAAAAAGAAAATAAATACCTTTGGAGAGTCCCCTCTATGGATTTGGGCTCCTGTGGTTCCATGAGCTTCCAGAACTTCCCTTGAAGCTACTTGTTCACAGTGTGGGGAGTTTTGCTGTTGGTTTGTCTACGATCCTGTATAAAGGAATGGGCTGAAACTGGGGGGATATTGAGATAGGTGTTTCCCAAAATGTTTTTTGCATGAAACCTGGTCCCTTATTTTTAAGGAGAAGGAAGAGGGGTTACATAGGAAAATAATTTGGGAGAGCCTACGTGCTGCAGCCTGCACGTGGTGATTCACAGTGAGTAGCACAGTAAAGGCCCTGAGAATGCCTGAGTTGAAGACATATGTTCTTTCTGACACTTCCATGTTTATTTAACCAGAAGTCTCCTCTTCCCATATATTATTTACGTTCCATGGGTTAGGGACACACTTTGGAAAACCTGAACCACAGCCAAGTGCGTCAAGGCTGCCTGGAGGCCATTTTATATAAGATTCTCAAGCTTTTATCCCAGACCAAGGTTTTCCAGCCTCAGAGCTTTGGAACGGGCGGTTCTCTGTGGTGGGGGCCGACCTGTAGTTTGCAAGATGTTTAGCTGCTTTCTGGCCTCTGCCCACTAGAAGCAGCACCACCACCAGCCTCTCCTTCCCTGAGTGCAACAATCCAAAGTGGTTCTAAATGTTGCCAGAGTTTCGCTGGGGGCGACGTCGCCCCTGGTGAGAGCCACTGCCCTGGCCCCGCCAGATGGGCATTCCTGGGTGTGAGGCCTGGCAATCCCTGCTTATCCACAAGTGGTCTTGCTGTGGCCCATGGGAACAGTGGCCTAGAGATTAAAATCTTCTTACTCCGTGATGAAGTTCCTTTCTCATGGGCTTCCCTTTGTAAACATTTGATTTATTTTATTGGAAACTTCTGTTCAGTTTAAATGTGCAAACTTTGCTATTGTACAATTTGGAATTTGAATTTTAGGGGGAAGATGGGTGGGGGTGCTGGGAGTTACTTGGACTAAGTAGGAAAGAGGAATTTGAATTTTAGGGGGAAGGTGAGGGGCAGGGGGAGCTGGGAGTTACTTGGACTAAGCAGAAAAGAGGAATTTGAATTTTAGGGGGAAGGTGAGGGGCAGGGGGGCTGGGAGTTACTTGGACTAAGCAGGAAAGAGGAATTTGAATTTTAGGGGGAAGGTGAGGGGCAGGGGGGCTGGGAGTTCCTTGACTACGTAAGAAGGAGCTAGCTGACGAGCCTAACGGCAGGCGGCAGGAGCACCTCTCCCTGAGTGCTGACGGTTTCGGTCTCTCATCCAGGCGGTGCTGGCCTTGGCGGCGTCTTGGACATCCCGGCAGGTTGGCGAGCGCACGCTCACGGGGATCGTCATCGACAGCGGGGACGGGGTCACGCATGCCATCCCAGTGGTAAGCAGGGTGTTCGGCGCTTCCCTCTCTGTAGGCCTCCCCTGACTTCCAGGGAAGGGAGGGAATGAAAGAAAAACCCCTTCTGTAATTAAAATACCACTTTAAGGGTCAGGGCTGTACCTAGGAAAGTAGCAGGAGTTTTTACCCCCTGGTCAATGAGAAAGGATGGCGCCCCAGCTGTGGCATCGGGGCTTTTAGGTCGGCAGTGGCGGATCTCCGCAGTAGGGGTGTCGGCTGCGGCAGGTCTCCGTGGCAGGCGTGTGCCACCAGTGGGGTTCTCCTGGCCCACGTGCGGCTGCTGGATTCTAGACTGTAGGCCTGGCGCGTGGTCCCGGAGGGGTTATCGCTGCTCTGTGACAGGACCGTGTGCTTTTGAGCAGCACATGCTTTAGAGGAGTGACTTCCTGTCCTTAAGCGTGTTCGTGAGCGAACAGGAGAGAGACTACGTTTTGACTCCAGATGCTGTGTGATGTCACTTTTTGGTTTTAATTTTCAAAACATAGAGAACTAATTCCTAATTCAGGCTTCAAGAGACACCTGCAGTCAGGACGAAGAAAAGCCAAATTCGCCCTGTGCTGGGTCCCTGGGCCCCTGCAGGGTAGGGGTGGGGGAGCTGGGGCCCCTGCCGGGTAGGGGTGGGGGAGCTGGGCCCCCTGCCGGGTAGGGGTGGGGGAGCTGGGGCCCCTGCCGGGTAGGGGTGGGGGAGCTGGGGCCCCTGCCGGGTAGGGGTGGGGGAGCTGGGGCCGGGTGGCTGGTCCTGTGCCGGGCGCCCTCTGGCCGGTCTCCGCACACTCAGCCCTCTTGTGGGTCCCCGAGAGGCGTTGGTGCCACCTGGAGCGTGACGCTGACTGGGCGTCACTCTGAGGCTTCGCCCTCCAGGTGAGTGGGGACCGAGCGGTGCCCGGCCCGGCCCACGTCTCAGGCGAGGAGAAGAAAATAGACTCCATGCGGTGTGCAGGCCACAGAGAAAGTGGTCGTGAAAGTTTTTATCTCTTTTTATCCATTTTTTTCTGATTATAAAAATTACATTTGTTGTCCAAGTTGTACTAAATTTGTATGAAACAGAGAAATGTGGAGAAGAAAGCAGCATGGCCCATAAACAGGCCCCGAGAACCACATTTTGCTTTTGTTTGGGGAGCTTCCTGTGCCCCTTTTCTCAGGTGCGCACGTATGCACGCTTTAAGCAAAACTGGAATATTCTATGCCTGGTTTTGTATTCTTTTTTTTTTTTTTTTTTTTTTTAATGTTTTTTATTTATTTCTAGGAGAGAGAGAG